GCGGGAAATTTCGCACCTGTTCTGGAGATTTCGAGAACTATCTGGGTTACCTGGAGGAAACTATATAAGCGACGACGAGAACCAGACAGAGTCAGTAAACCGTCTTTATCTATGCAGTAAACTTAATATTGATAATAAATATGTTCAAATAAGACAGAGTCAGTAAAGTGACAGCCGCGCCTGAGTGCAGAAGAGGTTAAACCCCGCGAGCCGGAAACGCGTGTTTTCCGTCACAAAATATCCCCCCTATGGGGTATGTTCTGTGTTTTCCGTTTGTTATTGTTATTGTTTGTGAAGTTGACGTTAATTTAGAAGTTAGCACAGGAAGTTAGTTTGTTCCTGTGCCGTAGTTAAAGTTGTACCGAGGGGAATAAAAGTTGGAAGCAGAAGAAAGAGTTTGATACTCGGCTATCCACGGTACGATATGTATATTTATTATTTGCTCTACCCACTGCAAAACATGACGCACTTACTTGTTTTACAGCTTAGACTTTTTGCTCTGTGCCTCAATGGCCGCTTGAGTTTGCAAATAAGCCAAATCCAGTTTTTGCGTTCCGCAGCCAGGATCCTGAATTTCCCGTTCAATTTCCGTTAAAACAAACACGATTTTTTCCATTGCCATTTTGGTGGCCTCGTCCGACACTTCCCAACAGGTCACAAAACGAATCCAGTCATCCCGAGCGCTGCATTGCACGCTCACTTTCACTGGATCGGTTGCGTATACAGTGAATAATCTAAAAGATGGAAACCAAATTAATTGGGAATAAAACATGTGTAAATTTCGTTAAATAATGTCTTCCACTTTTCAGCTTCAAATTGTTTATGCATGCTAAATACAGAGAAATAAAGTGCGACTGTTCGGTAGATAATGGAAGAAAACATAAGAAAGTCAGCATTTTACCTTTTCTGTGCCAATTTGGGACTAATTTTCGGATCCAAATTCATTATGACAATATTTGTGTGTATTTCGCTCAAATTCACTTGGAAATATCTGGAGTTGAGACCCGCTATACCTGAAAGTATTTCAATTGTGGCATAAAATTGCATGGAGGCAAAAAACCTGTTAACAGTTACATTTTTCTGCTAAGCAAAACACTGTGTGAATCGATTTGCAAGAAATGACAACATTTGATGAAAAAACATCTTTACTAATCATCTTTATTACAACATTATTTACACAATAAAGTAAAATGATACAAAAGAGCCTACCGTTACTAATCAAAATAAACATAAACGCCCGATAATAAATGGTTTACATATCGGAGCCTTATCACACGTCAAAAGCGCGCGAAGTTCGCACTTTCAGCATTCCCCATTAAGCGAATAAATAGAAATATTAATCAAGAATATTTTCGTTTGAACACTGATAAAATGCAATACTTTCCAATAGGAATAATGTGTGGTTTCCCAATACAGAAATGCACAAACAAGCTTAATAAATAACACAATGACGGGTTTTGATGATGAATTGTGGACGATTAACTAAGTTATATAAAAAGTTTACATAACATCGTTAACAAGAACCCTCTAGAAACGCGGGAGCTACAACTGGAAGGCTTTGTCATATTCCCTAATAACCAGCTGGATTTTGTCGCAAGCCATCGCAATGTCTTCGTCGGTTATCTCCCAGTACAAAGTGAACCGGACGCAGTCATGATTCAAAGACATGCACCTTACACTGCACTTAACACTGTCAGTCTTCAACACAGTCTGTAATCGACGCTGAAGATCCTTGATGGGGATCTTCGTTTTGTCCACGTACATCAGCACCATGTTGGTTTGGACTGTTTGCAGATCGACGTGGAAATTGGTGGATGCTGTTGCGTAAATTGCTTCAAATTTTAAACAATCATCAGTACATAATTCAACAATGGCCACATACTGACGCATAATGTAGAAGCGGAAGTGAAGGATGTAGATTTTTTAACCATTATGCTTACCTTTCATGCTAAAAACTCCCAAAATTCCCAAAAGCTGCCAACATCAAATGGGAATCAATCGCGTCCACCCCGAAAGCATATACCATATACAAGAGTTTTTCACATGCACCAAAGAATCTTTTTATTATCTTGCCCCATTTAACCGACAATAGAAACCAAGGCGCTCGCGGAATGTCTGTATTTGTTCCCAATTTGTTAGTATCTTTATGCTACCCAGGGGTTGCAACAGCTGGAATGCTTTGCGAATAATGACTTGAAGCAACCGACTTACCTTTCGCTATTTGGTAGGCATGGTTGTGGTCCTCCTGCAGCCGATCAATCATGCTATCAAACGCTACTAATCCGGCGGCCGCTATAATTCCGGCCTGCCTCCATCCTCCGCCTATGGCCTTTCGAACGCGCCGAGCCCTGCACCGCGGAAATCAGATTTAAACGCTAATCACACTCAACATTTCGTATCACTCACTTGGCAATAAACTCGGAGGTTCCGGCTAAAATGGCCCCAACAGGACATCCCAGCCCTTTGCTCAGACAAAAGCAAACTGAGTCCACGTCTTTTACGATGCGACTGGGGGGCACTTTTAGATAAACAGCTGCATTCATCATGCGGGCCCCATCCATGTGCACTGGCAAGTTGTGTTCTTGGGCCACGTTTTGCACCTTCTCCAGCCACTCCAGAGGCAACACCTGCAAGGAAAATCGTTCATGAGTGGCAAACAGTTGTAAAGCGGGTCGTATTTTTCACTCACCTTGCCACCGCATAGATTATGTGTATTCTCGACTATAATGAGAGAGGAGATTGGCTCGTGGAAATCGGGGTTTTTTCGAATTTTCTTGCGCAGATCGTCAATGCTGAAAGTGCCATCCTCGTTGTTTTTTATCACTGCAGTGTGCACCCCTGCGATTTGCGCGGTGCCACCTGTTGGAAAAGTGCCTCTATATAATCTCTGATTGTACTAGAGAGCGTTTGGGCCTCACCTTGCTCGAACTTAAAGGTATGCCCATGGTCTCCAGAAATGATTTCGCTGCCCCTCTGATTGCAATGAACCATAACTGCAAAAATGAAAAATGTGTTCTACATGTTTTGGCAATATCCTGCTGATAACGGTCAGTATATCAAGAATCCAGCGTAAACCAAATAACATTGTTCCCTTCCATAAAAGAGGTCGCAGCCTTTTTGAGCCTCTGAGGCAACGTATTAGCCCAAGGTTCTGCTCATATCAGCCAATTTGATTTATGAAAACAGTCCAATTACTGATACTGATACGTGAAAGCCCTGACCTCTGACATATACCTACATAAAACAAGCTTTCTTTCAGCCAATGTCTGGTTTAGTCCAGTTACGTCCAATTATCGTTTTAAATCAATCAGCATCACATGACGATAATGATGGAATATGTAACAGTGTTAACAGTCATCGGGCATTTGGATTATTTCCACTAGTTTGGTGGAGGCTCCTTTGATTGGTTTTATGAGCATGAAATAGTGAAGTTGAAACAGTAGGTACTCTTAATCGGACTTGCTCTAGTGGCGGAAGCCTAGGCCTGGTAAGAGTACTTTTTGTGTAGAAAACAATTATTACTGAGTTATTGGGATAATTATTTAAAAACCCTCGTTGGCTACTTACTAGCAATTAAGTTAGCCATCGTTCCACTGGCAACAAACACAGCTTGTTCTTTGTCGAGCAGCTCAGCGGCACGAGTTTCAAGTTCAGCCACTGTAGGATCCTCCCCATAGACGTCGTCGCCTACCGCAGCCCTGTACATCGCTTCTCGCATTTCTGGGGTCGGCCTGCTCACCGTGTCGCTTCTAAGATCCACAATCCGGATCCCAGAATTGTTCATCAGATCGATGTTGATTTTTTCGTACATTTTGAATTCGCACTAAACCACAGACACGACCTACCACGCACTGAACCAGTTAGCAAAAGCCCGTTCACTTTTATATCCGATGTGCACGCTGAGGCAGGCAAACGCCGGTCTCTAATCTTGGCGTTTCAACATTCTTGTTTGGCTAAAGCTATAATTATTGCATCAGGGCAGGCACTATCACGTATTTCGCAAATTAATAACAATATTGCCAATGTGGTCTAAGTGCGTCCGCTCGTCTTGCAATACGCTCAATTGCTCCAATTATATAATATTCCGTACGTAAATCAACGAGGACAAATTTAAAAATTTTTGATGCAATCCGGTGACAAAATGGCGAACCGACAATGWCAAACCGTCACCACTTTGTCAATAGTTAAGCAGTGTTGCCGTAGTAYAGCAAATTAATTTCAGTWAAATTTATTGCATTGATTCTACAACGTTGCCACAAATAATATCGGGTTAGATTGTTGCAGATTTGCAGCATAGAGTAAGTAAAATAAAAATAAAAAATTTCACTTTCTCTATGATTTGCAGTTCCTTTCAGAGTTTAGTATAGTTTTGAGTTAAAAMCTTTTGCGTAGAAATAATYTGATMAATTAAATCAACTGCCCTCAGCCGTTCGCACCAATCACAAGCGAGCATTGGGAAGTCAGAGACGCTGAAGGAAATTTCGGAAAGGAAACACGCAAAATAACCTAACTTTTCCGGTGTTACAACCATGTTTTGTGTTAGGAAAAATTTTAATTTTCTGAAAAAATCGACACCCCCTTGGAAAAATTTCGGCCAAAAATCAAAATTTCAGTCGCACCCATTCGTCAATAATTAATTTCGTCTATAAGGAATATTTTCGGCCTAAACTCAGTACTTTTAAACTTTCGAAGAAATCAACAACCTTCGTTGCCTAGAAATCGTCCCTGGTGACGTGCTTTTCCGGATACACATAAACCTGATCATAGAACAAGCAAAGGATTCTACAGATATTAAAAAGTTTATAAAAATCGCCCAGAATCCTAGACAACGTTAAAAAGCACTCGTACACACAGAAGATAAAAGCTAAGGAGAATATTAGTGCAAGAAGCAATAAATTCTTGAATAAGCCCTATGAAACCTGAATGGTTGAAAACTATAAGATAAACCGTTATTAGTAAATAGAAACATTTTGTACGAAAAGTTACATGATTTACCTGAGAAAGTTTTCACATTTGCAAAATAAGCACCTAAATGACATGATATTAAAGAAATGTTTAAAAAATTAACAAGTAAATAAAAAACAAAAATAAGTCAGAAAGCATTTAAAAAAAGAGTATTTCGGCGAGCAAAGAGAAAATAGTAAATAACACATTTTCAACGAAAAGCTGATATATTCGCAAAATATAGTACAAAAAAAATAAAAAAAGCGTTATTTTTCGGATACTTGCTGCCGTTGTTATCTGATATTTTTTTAAAGGTGAGCAGCATTTGATGTATGATGACAAATTGCTTGGATTTGAGTGAAATTTTGTCTATTTAAATTCGGCTCCGTTGTTTTCTGCGAACAGTTGAGTGAAAGAGTTACTATGTTACATAATAAAGCAATCTACTGTGGAAAACCTGACTATTTAAAGTTAAAAACTGAGCAAAAAAGTTGAAAGTGGCAAATCTGAGCAGTCCCGACTTAGAGTTCATAAAGCGTTCTATTTAGGGTGTAATTCACAGCAGAAGAACACTAATAATTGAAGGTGTGTTTACAGCAAAACACCCCTATGTTACATAATAAAGCAGTCTACTGTGGAAAACCTGACCATTTAAAGTTAAAAACTGAGCAAAAAGTTGAAAGTGGCAAATCTGAGCAGTCCATACTTCATAAAGTTCATAAAGAGTTCATAAAGCGTCCAATTTAGAGTGTAATTCACAGCAGAAATAAATGAACCAGCCGAGACTTTATTCAGATTTGTGGTTTGATACACGTGCATACACACACAGATAAAGACAAGTACAAGGATACACAATGTGATTGTGTTCGATTGTGGTTAGTTCTTAGCTTGGAGCACAGGGTAGCCATTCGTACTGTAATACGCGTTTGAAAGGTTGGCCACCCTGGTGGGAGGTCTAAATAGTAAGTTGTCTGTGGCGCTATTGTTTTGGTTGGTGATTGCTCCGATTTTCTGCTGAATTCACTCGAAAGCAGGTAATTTTCTTATGAATTCCTGTTAAACATAACATACATTTGAAGGGGCATGTAAAGGCTTTGCCCGACAACGTCCAGAAGCCTTGCTTTGGCCCATAAATGAAACCAGTGCAACCAAAACAGTCAATAACTATTGGAAAACAACCAAATATTTTTCCTATTTTTTGAGTACACTTTTAAACCCATTGACTGTACAGACAGTACTGTCATATGTTTGTTGTAAACAACGTCGATTTTAAACAACAAAATCGAACGACAAAGACTGAAGGGCCAGAATTCCTTAAAATAGTTCATTGATTTCTCGCACCCTGTGGGTGCATGAATCATTACGTGGGAGATAAAATCAAGAGAGCCGTTTTTAACTTTGGCGTCAACCTGTATCAATAAATGAGATTGTCATTTGTTAAGCCGCTTTCTATTGGTTGCGTCCATCGTCAATACGTCATTATAGCCAGAGAAACCGCATATACCAGGTGTCCCAAACCAGATATACAATCATAGGTCAGGGCCAAACCGTAACGGTCAGAATAGCGTTCGCGCTTTTTTCAGGACACTTTGTATACTGGAATAAAAATTTGGTAGTATTAACAAAAATTTAAGTTTTCCCAAAAAATCTGGAAAATATGGGCAGGCTTTTGAAGTAACTTTTCGAACAAAATTCGATATTTTTCAAAAACTGGGCTCTATCGGGAGTGGTCGCTTTTTACCGATTTAAAGGGCAAAAGTTCACTCTAAACGACCCTAAAGGGTCATTGATTCAGAACTACCCGGGAAATGTTAATGTTGGCAGAACAGACACAAACATAATTTTAAATGTAACAAAAGATTCAGTTTTTGCAGAAATCTGGAAAGTTTTGGAAAGCTTTTGAAGCAACTCTTAACTCATTTTTTTACATCTTTGAATAGAAGACAAGAACGAATAAAAGCGACTCGACTTGCCAACATGCGGAGATTTATTTTTATTTTGTTTAGTATTTAGTGTTATTTGATAATTATTGTAAATTCCGTCCAATATGACACTGTATTTTTTAAATATTGAAACAAATAAAACAACGGAAACCAAGAACGCAAAGTAATTTATTCCATTGTAAAGCAAGAAAGTAAGAAAATAAATAAAACTACAAAACATAGACATTGTTAAAGGAAACGGCGTCCATTTATTGCATTTTTAATCCCCCTCTTAGGGCTCTCCAGATAAATGGTATTGCGTCTGTTCTTTCCATTTATTGATACACTGAACAAAAATTGAATTGTTCTCTGGCCCAATCCAGTTGGCTGTTTCCATCCCCTGAATCTCCAATGGTTTTTTGGCCTAAGTATACTTGGAGTGTTTAATTGTTGCTATCATATTTGGAGGTATGAAGGAAGTTGATGTTTCTTGGCCACTTGAGCCTTCTTGGTAGGCACTTCAAGGCTCCAGCAGCATAAATTCATTGATTTTCATCCCAGCCGATTGGTTAGGGACGTATTGATTCTGTCACATGACCTTCCCCCTGCGCACGGAAAAATTCATCCTGCTAGGTCTCGAAAATCGTCCTGGCCGATACGCCAGAGCAGGATAATTTCGCATACGGCGGTGAAATTTTCTGCAAAAATGGTTTAGAATCGGTCGAAACGTAGTGAAATTGTCCGTCGACTTGTATGGTACATTCCAAAGCTGTTCAACTTTCGAAAACCTTTCGGTAAGTCCGGTTTTTTTTAATTGACCTCTTGCACGACTTCTCATGGTATGGGCGTTGAATGGTTTTCCGTTGTGTAATAATACAATTTATTTGGTTTTTTATTTATTTAATATTGAATGCTGATGGACATAGTTGTCCAGTTGCTGTTGCTTTGCAACATTTGCTCTTTTTTCGGGACTTTTGTTGTTAATTTTCTTTCTGCGCTTCATTATTATGTTCATCCAATGATTCCTTTTCTGAAACTATTCCATTTATGACGATTTCCCATTGGAAATGTTGCGCTGACTTATCTACGTTCTGTATGTTCAGGGTGTAAAAATATCGATATTGACCATTTAAATCATTTATTGCCTTCTTTGGCGTTGAAAACCTTACCCAATGTATTGGCTCTTTGTTTGGGATAAATTGGATTCAATAGTTCGATTTTTTAGCATTTTACTAAGTTTTTGCCCAATTTGTGCATTGAGTTCATTTCAAATTTAGCCTTTAGAATTGCAACTTATTTGTTTAATTATTTTTTTGTAAATTTATTAAAAGCGACTTATTGAATTTTCCTACATACACAGTGGGTTCACTGAAGTAGCAGCCATATAGAGAACTGTTTTTATCAATTTTCCTAAAAAATGTTTTTCATAGGGTGGCTTGAATTAAATTCTGGTTTCAGTGGTTAAAGAAAATATCTTCAGATTGCAATTGCGTTTTTTCAAACAAAACAACGTGAATATTAGTCAGTTTTCTGAAAGAGGCTTTTATGCCCTGGCCAAGTATAATTATCACTTAACGAAGAGTCTTTTGAAAATTACATCCTTGAAGAACTTTTTTAGGTCATTGTGAAATTGTGAAGCAGAAACCGTAAATAGCTCATTTATTGGCGCCGACAAACTGACCTCGAGTTCCACCCTTGCAACAAATCCTTGCGAAAGAATTAAAAATACAGCCGAAACATGGGGGTTTTATTTATGTAGATTGATGTTTATTGCTTTTTACTGGCTGAAGCTTCACTAATTTACATTATGAAGCTTTTGGAAAATAGAAGAAATTAGTGAGGAAAATCGAGAAAACTACGCGGAGTAACGCAAGATTGTGTGCAGTATCGGTTTACAACAGCAAAAAAATTTAAACAATAAACAGAAGTATGAAGGCTTTCACGGCCGGTCAGATTATATTTAGGAATGTTTTCCGGGCTTTGAAGCCGTGGTCTATCGGAATTTCTYCCTGACGTTTCGTCCACAACTGCGGTGGACATTTTCAAAGGCCTTTGAAAATGTCCATATTTTGTCATTTTTTAGTCAAAGAATACACTGGTCGGCTTGCGCTTGCATTCAAATTGCGCGCAAAATCGTCTTTGTAAAAATTGAAACATTGAATGAGCAATCTTGTGCAATTTCAGACAATTGACGCTTGGACTACAGGCGGWARAGCTGAGTGGAAGGTAGTTTCGACTCGCTGCAGCCTCACGTAGTGGCCGTTTACACRTGGCTGTCAGACAGMGGTCAATGTTTTCTTCTATTTAATSGCATCAGTTTAGTAAGCGGGTCCAGAGCATTTGAGAAATTTGTGTGTGGTCTTCACCAGTCTTASTCGRAAAGCACGGGAGATCACTTCGCCTTTGATAATGTCCACCGCAGTTGTGGACGAAACGTCAGGAAGAAATTCCGATAGACCACGGCTTCAAAGCCCGGAAAACATTCCTAAATATAATAAACAGAAGTGTTTTTCATTACTCCAAACTCAACACTTCAAACTTTTTGTTTGCAACTCATATTTTTTGTTTTCAAACAAGCTGGGGCAAATTTGCAATGTTTTATTATTTTGAGTTTATAAAGCCTTTCCAGAACTCAACAGTCATGAAGCGAAATTTCGAATCCCTCAATTTGAGTCCAAATCGCGTGATTCACATGAAAGATTCGAAGCTGATTAGGTGGCGCCGCGGCGTCGTTGAGTCTCGGCGCCGATGGATCGGCGAATGCACACATTGACCCAAACTGAATGACGCATTTCATGAATGGTTTTCTTCAACAACAAAACTACTAGACGTTTGCACTGCGTACGTGCCATTTGCGCGAACAGTTCGTAACTTGGACACCCTGTATATTGAAAACTAAACACTTTTCTGTTATCGCTCTTCAGTCGTTCCCAAATAAGGAACAGTTTCGTTTAGAGAGGATGCTTTTAATGTTACCGCACATAAGTGCACAGGGTGTTGGACGAAGCCATCTGGCTAATCCCATCGACTTTTTATTGCGAATTTGTTCCACTCTGTATAAACGAAGGTTTTTTGCATTCCAGATAAACACCAAAAGCGAAAATGTCTTCAGTAAAAGTAGCGGTGCGCGTCCGACCGTTTAACAACCGAGAAATCACCAGAGATTGTAAATGCATTATAAAAATGGGAGGCAACACAACGAGTAAATATAATAAATATACGAAAAATCGATTTAATTGAAACATTTCCGTTCCAGCCATACTGAATCCAAAGGCAGACCCGAACAACAAAGAATCAATAAAAAGCTTCAACTTTGACTATTCCTATTGGTCGCACGATGTAAGAGAGTTGACATTAACTTTGCAACAATTGCATTTTCCCCGTCCATCTAAGATCTGACTAGAATCAACCAAATTTTCAAAAAAAATCGCCGAACCGTTGAAAAACCGTGCTTTTTTCGCAACTCGTCGGCCGAAATCATTCTAGTCACGTCTTAAACATACCACCGCTTAACAACTTTTTATCCTTTAACTTGAATATTTAGGAAAGCGATGCGGAGTTTTCTTCGCAACTGCTTGTCTACAAAGACATCGGAGAGGAAATGTTACAACACTCATTCGATGGCTACAATGTGTGCATCTTTGCCTACGGCCAAACAGGCGCCGGAAAGTCTTACACGATGATGGGCAAGCAGGAGGAAGGCCAGGAGGGAATAATCCCCCAGATCTGCAAGGAATTGTTCAGAAAAATACAGAACAGTACCCAGACCGATGTGAAGTATTCAGTGGAAGTAAGCTATATGGAGATCTATTGCGAAAGAGTCCGGGATCTGCTCAACCCCAAGAATAAAGGTTGATTTGCCGAAGATGTGCAAGAAATGAATGGGGATCACTTTTGAAATATTGCAGGCAATCTGAAGGTGCGAGAGCACCCGCTTCTGGGGCCTTACGTGGAGGATCTCAGCAAACTAGCGGTTACCAGTTACGAAGACATTCACGATCTGATCGACGAGGGAAACAAAGCCAGAACAGTGGCTGCGACTAATATGAACGAAACAAGTTCTAGATCGCACGCTGTTTTCACCATATTTTTCACACAACAAAGGTGCGCAGATTCTCGCCAGAGGCTTAGAATGCGGTTTAATGGTTTCTTCGCAGATTGGACGAAACTACTCAGCTCACAACTGAAAAAGTGTCAAAAATATCCCTGGTGGACTTGGCTGGATCGGAGCGAGCCGACTCCACTGGCGCCAAAGGAACGCGCTTGAAGGAAGGAGCAAATATCAATAAAAGTCTCACCACTTTAGGAAAAGTAATTTCTGCTCTTGCCGAAATCGTAAGTATTTGTGCAAAATGTCCGGCATTCCATTTAAACCGTGCCTTTATGATCTCATCACTCTTTAACCGAAATTCACTAACTTAATTTGTGTGGTTTCCTGCTGCCAACATTAGTCTGTAAGTATTTATCTTTGATTTTTGCTGAAATAATTAAAAAATGTGTTTCATTGCAATACTGACCGTTGGATCACAAAGAACAGTAGCGCGAGTTTAAAATGAACTACGGGACACATTCCCAAACAAACACAAACACCCTGTACAAGTGCATATTTCCTCTGTGTATGTGGTTCATCTTAGACACGCATGAAGTCCAATTTAGAACAAAACTGAGCAATTTTTGTGGGTGTTTTGCAGGCGTCGAAGAGCAAAAAGTCCAAAAAAGCCGACTTTATTCCCTACAGAGATTCCGTACTAACTTGGTTGTTGCGAGAGAACCTGGGAGGCAACAGCAAAACGGCTATGATTGCCGCCATATCGCCTGCCGATATTAACTACGATGAAACTTTGTCTACTTTACGGTAAGCAGATTGCAAGGCGACAAACCATCTGTTTCACTAAGGCAAGTAAATTGTCCAGTTACGCGGACAGAGCTAAACAGATCGTGTGCAAAGCAGTGGTCAATGAGGACGCCAACGCGAAACTCATTAGGGAACTCAAAGAGGAGATTCAGAAACTGCGCGAGCTTCTCAAGCAGGAAGGAATTGAAGTTCATGAAGGTAAATCTATTGTATGGGTGGAGAGTTAGAAGAATTTTGAAAAAATCACTTCGATTTGTGGCTTACATGATTTTCTGTTAACCACAACGCGGCTCAGGTCCCGATGGCAAAGTTATTTATGAAAAGAAGGACCAGCCTCGTAAGTATGCGGCGCTTTTGTCCGGCTTTTTGGCACCCAATCGTCTAAAAACCACAGTGTCTGCCACAATTTTCATCATCCGACCTTTTACACGAAGCCTTTTGTATTCTGATTGGCAGTAGTTCCATGCCAGTTATTGTTCTTCAGGAGTCCCCACCTTTATCAATAATCTCCCGCCTTAGTCTCCTCGTAGGATAATCCTCTTTGCTCATCTATGGTCAATTATTCCATCCATGTCTAAAACACTCTCCAAATTGGCAACGGAAATAAAAATATTGCGGATTACTTCACAGGCACCGCGAATATTCGAATAGTTGGGCTTTTCAGCATTGATGAATCTTCAGTGGGGGTTTTTGAGCTATTGCCAATGCCAAAGTTCCAATTGTTCGCAAGCCACTCACTACCAGCCAGCTTCCAGCGAATGCTTCTACTGTTTGAAAAATCGAATTGGCGGAAAATTTTTGTTCTAAATTACAGTTTTTTGCAATGAAGCTTTCATGCTTGAGAATGAAACCTGTACTAATTTCTGTGTTTATTTTCATCATCCAAACGGCGGGAAATCGAGCATTAGCCGCAATTTGAATGAAAATCCATGTTCTTTCAGGTGTGGAGAACAACATGGTGGAGAGAAATAATAAGGAAAATGACAAACGGGCTAGAACGCAGTCTACTACAGCCGAGGAAGCTGTCGATCAGCTTCAGGCAAGCGAAAAGCTAATCGCCGGTAAAACATCTGGACTTGCTTAAACAATAGCAGGTGATAATGAATGTTTATCTGCTAGAATTGAATGAAACTTGGGAGGAAAAGCTGAAGAAAACAGAAGCCATCAGAATTGAAAGGGAGGCAGTTTTTGCCGAGATGGGAGTGGCGGTGAAAGACGGAAATACTGTAGGAATCTTTTCTCCGAAACGCACTCCACATCTAGTGAACTTAAACGAGGACCCTTTCATGTCCGAGTGTCTCATTTACTATATCAAGGTCTGCTGCCTGTATTATACAAACATGGACAATTTCCATAAACAATGCTTCAACAATTTTCAGGATGGTTTGACTCGAATCGGCTCAGAAGAAGCAAACAGTCCTCAAGACGTTCAGCTCTCTGGTTCACACATCAAACCAGAGCATTGCATATTCGAGAATAAAGACCGGAAAACCACTCTGATCCCCTTAAACGGCGCTCTCATCTATGTAAACGGAAGAGAAGTACGCACTTGCCCACTTCCGCACTATGTATAACTTATGGTTTGAACAAACACCTTTTTGTACAGATAACTGAGCCGATTGCACTTAAAACGGGCTCCAGAGTGATTCTGGGCAAAAATCACGTGTTCCGCTTCACGCATCCGGACGAAGTGCGGGAAATGCGGGAGAAAAATACGCCGGCCGAAACAGTTGATTGGAATTTTGCTCAAATCGAACTGCTGGAGAAACAGGGCATCGATCTGAAGGCCGAGATGCAGAAGAAATTGGTTAATTTGGAGGAACAGTACCGGAAGGAGAAAGAAGCGGCGGATCAGGCGTTCGATGAACAGAGAAAGGTAAGGAAACGCTCTTTTATACAAGGTGTTCAGCTGAATCTGGCCACATTCAGCATTTCAACACTTTGACTTCTAATGTAAATAATCAACACTTTTCTTACTGTGCTGTCTCGAAGCAGCCTTAATGAACATTATCTCTAACGATAAATCCCAAGAAATTTGAACGCAAAGCCTGAAAATGAACAGATGCCTTACCTTTAAAATAGTGCAAATCACTGGATGTAATATGATGAATCAAAGTTGGTAACTCGTAAGCTTAATGCGTAAAGCCCAGATCCGTCACCAGATCTGTCAATTCGTACGCCGAATTGACAGATCTCCAACCAATAGGAACACTTTCGTACCATCGTAGAAACGAATGAATGGGACACGGGCTTAAAACGTATTAAACCTGTTTTTATGATTCTTCTTCTTCTTTACTCAAATGGCGCAGCTTTTTTGACTTTAATTTGGGCAATCCAGAAAAAAATCCGCACTGCGCATTACCAACTAATTATTTTGTTGACAATGGCAGTATTGCCATGGTTACGAGGTGACGCGGCGTGGTGCGGCTTGTTGATTATGTTGTTGCTTGGTAACTGGTTTTTCAATTTCGATAATTTGTTGATTTTCTCTTTAATCAGTGTAATTTTTCATGTTGTAAAGAACTATGAAGCGCGAATCGACGCCCTGCAGAAGCAAGTGGAAGAACAGATAATGACCATGTCAACGTACAGTTCTTATACTGCGGAAGATTTCAGTAACGAAAACGATATTTTCGGTAAGCTGCTGTTCAATGCTATTTTATAAAATGTCTGGCTTTCTTCCGCTTAAGTATATGTAGAAAGCAACGTTTTTAATTAGTATACATTAGTGTTTGAATTATTTCCGGAGTTTAACGGTAAATTGAGAAAACTCTGCGTTCTGGTAGTAAATTCGCATGGGTAGTTGTTAGTCTTGCTTAAATACAGAGTGGCACCCGCTTTTTCAGTGAACCCTCTGTTTGATGCAGAGTGTAACTGGACGGAAAAGGAGTTTGAACTCGCTGCGTCCGCTTGGAGGAAGTGGAAGCACCATCAGTTCACCTCACTTAGAGACGATCTTTGGGGGAACGCCATTTTTCTGAAAGAAGCAAATGCCATCAGCGTCGAGCTGAAGAAGAAGGTAAAACTGCAAATCGAAACGGTGATCAACCAAGTGAACCCTGCAAAAATTTGTTCACAGGTTCAGTTTCAATTCACCCTGCTTACTGATACTCTGTATTCCCCGCTGCCGCCGGATTTGCGCCCAGTTATAGACTATGACCACGATGAGGACGTAACCATTCCAAGAACAGCGGTGGCTGTTGAAGTGCAAGATCTGAAAAACGGCGCCACTCACTATTGGTCTTTGGACAAGCTGCGGTAAGTGTTGGGAACTATGCGAACAGAAGAACTGGCACTAGTGGACGTGAATGATCACACATGGTTCCTACAAATTCGCAAGGTTTAGTTAACGATAAACGTTTTCTTCGCAGTCAAAAATTAGAAATAATGAAAATGTCCTGCGAGCTTGCATTGCCCTCGCCCACTGTGGACAGTAGTCCCGAGGAGGATCCGAATCCACCCTTTTATAAGTGTCTCACTCACTGTTCTTCAACATCACGCTTATCACTGACCAACTTGCTCCCTAAGAGGTTGGTGCCGTCGCTTGGCCATGTACAGTCGTTGTCACTGCTTCGCAAAATCAGTTTTATTGTACTATACACAACAGTTAGGTAACTGAACCCAACATTGCGGAAATGAAAAACTGCTGTTTTGGTCAGTCCAAACAATCGCCTCAAATGCCTTGTTAATGTTAGGCCAACTTTGTAGTTTAATCTAAAATGTTATCAAGTTCTAGGAAGATTAAAGCCTTGCACAATTAATAATCGTGTTACAGACAACGTTTGGAGCTGATGCGCGAAATGTACCATAACGAGGCAGAAATGTCCCCAACATCTCCCGATTACAATGTCGAGTCTCTCACGGGCGGAGATCCGTTCTACGACCGATTCCCCTGGTTTCGCATGGTTGGAAGAGGATTCGTCTATCTCAGCAACTTGCTCTATCCGGTCACCTTGATACATAAAGTGGCTATCGTCAGCGAAAAGGGCGATGTGAGGGGATACTTACGGGTGGCTGTGCAAGCTGTTATGGATGAGGACAATTCAGACCAAGTGGGCGTGAGGCAGAGCGCCCGAATTGCCTTTGAGTCCACCCCCAAAGGTTCGCATTTACATTCACTTGCGCGTAGGAAACTGGATGTATTTCACCCTCTTTTTTGTAGCGGTGATCGAGCGCAACATCCATAATATAGAAGATCGGATTATCGAGGGCCACAACAACATCGATCCAATCAAACTGGAGGAATTGATTGAATGTGACGCCGATTCTGGACGGGGCGACAGTTCGGTGTCTTCGGACTTAAAGGAGGAAGAAATCCCCGAGCATCTGATGATTGGAAAAGAATTTACTTTCCGCGTGACTGTGCTTCAGGCTGTGGGAATTTCCACAGAGTATGCTGATGTTTTTTGCCAATTTAAGTAAGGACTGTTAACGTTGTTGGCTGCGCCGAAATCACGCACGGACTGCGTATTGTTTCAGCTTCCTACATAGGCATGATGAAGCCTTTTCAACAGAGCCGGTGAAAAATACGGGCAAGGGAACGCCTTTGGGATTCTATCACGTTCAAAATGTACGTTGTGCCTTAAAAAGTGTACGCCTTTTCAATCACTAATGCTTATTTTCAGATTACAGTGACGTGTACCAAATCGTTCCTGGATTATATACGATCACAGCCAATAGTATTTGAAGTATTCGGGCACTATCAGCAGCATCCGTTGCATAAAGACGCCAAGCTGGAAGGCAGCGTGAGACAACCTCCGCGCCGCATGTTGCCTCCTTCCATTCCCATTTCACAGCCTGTGAGATCCAGCAAGTTTGGCGCTTTGCCCAGTCCTTGTACCGCACATATTCATGCAAAGGTTAGTTCAGACGCTTTGAACAAAATTTCCGAGTTTTTTGAGCCGATGCAATGATTTGCAGGTTGATGTACTGGTATGGTTTGAGATTTGTGAGCTGGCCCCTAACGGAGAATATGTTCCCGTCGTTGTAGAGCACAGCGACGATTTGCCTTGTAGAGGGCTTTTCTTGCTTCACCAGGTACTTGTTCCAGAACCAATTTCATGTTCAGTTGCCAATTAATTTGCGCTTTAGGGAATACAAAGACGGATTCGCATAACCATTGTTCACGACCAGGCGTCTGAAATCAAGTGGAGGGATGTCAGGGAGCTGGTGGTGGGTAGAATTCGAAACTCCCCAGAATCAGAAGACGACGAAGATAACGACAATTCGGTGCTGTCGCTCGGTTTATTCCCAGGTAGTAGGGGTGTTTGCATTTTGCCTTCACAAACACGGTGAAATGTGTGTTTCAGGTGAGTACCTGGAGATCCCTGGAGATGACCGAGTTATGTTCAGGTTCGAAGCTGCTTGGGACAGTTCCCTGCACAATTCGCCTCTGTTGAACCGAGTCAGTTCCCCGGGCGAGCAGATTTTCATGACAATATCGGCTTATTTGGAGGTGCGATCAGCGCAAACCGATCCCTAGCTGTTTGCTTAGTTTGTGATTTTTGCAGCTGGAAAATTGCGGTCGCCCAGCCATAATCACCAAGGACCTGAGCATGGTTATGTACGGAAGGGACGCCCGCACTGGGCCCAGATCGCTGAAACATCTGTTTTCGGGCAGCTACAGAAACGCTGAAGCCAACCGCCTTTCTGGTGTATATGAGCTACTATTGCGACGAGCTAGCGAAGCAGGTAGTCCAGGTAGATTCCCCTTAGTTGCTCCTTTTCCTCTCCCACTGAAGCACGAAAGCAATTGATTCCCGGTACTCTAGATTTAGCCTGCCGATTTTTCACCAGAAAATGCGCTAACATTTGCTGTGGTTTTCTACAGGCGTTCAAAGACGCCAAAGACGGGTTTTGGATACGAGTTCCACGTATGTGCGAGGTGAGGAGAACCTGCATGGATGGCGGCCGCGAGGGGACTCTTTGATTTTCGATCATCAGTGGGAGTTGGAGAAATTGACGAGATTGGAAGAAGTGGAAAGGTAGATTTTTTATTTATATACTAAAACTGAACAAGTTAATTTCCCTATCTTCTGCCATAGAGTCAGGCATACGCTTTTGTTGAGAGAGAGGTTGGGACTGGATCGTTGCCACAATTACAACAAATTCCAATCGGAATATACCACAAAGAGCGAGAAGGAAGTATGCAACATGGTCGCCAAAAATAATTTGAACCAGAATTATCAAGGTTGGCAGAATAAATGAAGTTTGCGGAACTGAAGAATGAATTATCTGATTTTCTTCCAGCCAATAACGACTCAGTTTCCGACTATTCAGACCGCGAAAAGCAGCTGCTCAACAAGTGCGTCCGCCTCATTCAGGGAAAACCGCGCGACAGCAAAGAGCGCAAAGAAAACGACATTGCCAGTCCGACCGACGAGCTTACTGATATGAGCGCCAGCATGGTGTCCAGTGTGATGACCAACAGTTCCATTGAATTATGCTCGCCAGAAAGAACGCCGCTAATCGGGGAATGTGCCCCATTTCCCTCTATGCCGGCCTCACCTCCTGGTTCGCTTTGCGCAATATAATTTTATATTTTGCAACTCTTTTACGCATTTTTTAGGCCCTAGAGATCCGGAGTTGGTTCTGTACGTTCCTGATATGGAGGAAATTAGAATTTCCCCAGTCGTTGCCAGAAAAGGTTACCTCAATGTCTTGGAGCACAAAACCCATGGATGGAAGAAGCGATGGGTGGTAAGCATATTATTCGTAAATGTACTGGTAAAAATTTGCGTGTCGTACATCATACCATTGGTTGTTTTAGGCTGTAAGGCGACCTTATGTGTTTATATTCCGCGATGAAAAGGACCCGGTAGAAAGAGCCCTCATTAACCTAGCCACTGCTCAAGTAGAGTATTCGGAAGACCAACTGGCTATGGTAAGGTTTCCCAGTTTGCATAACTGTTATGTGATTTTAACCGTTTTCCCGTTCAGGTGCGACTTCCCAACACATTCAGTGTTGTCAGCAAACATAGGGGCTACTTGTTGCAAACTCTTCACGAGAAGGAGGTTCACGACTGGCTGTACGCCATAAACCCACTGCTTGCAGGACAGATTAGGTCGAAATCGTCCAGGCGCCAGCCTCAAGCCAAAGAGGAAGTTAACGCCGAAGTGAAGATTACTGTAGACGCTAAATGAGATATGATCGATATGGAATCCGTACTGGTCTATTGAAAAGGTCAAGTGTATAGATTTTTTTTGTTCTCTTCTTTTACATGCGTTTGGGTCTAAATTGAAATACTTTAATATTGGTTCACTTTTTGCTCATAATCCGAACGTCTGAAACGTTTTGCTTGAAGGCCAGTTTTAAGTAGATGATGATGATTGAAAGTCAATGGGGTTCATTATTTATGATCAGGCTGTAAGCACAAATACTACTGTGAGAAAGCATAATGCGTTGGGTTTTAATCAGTTTCAAAGCGGCAGAGTGAGTGTTTCCTTGCAGTCTGAGACTAATGCAGAACACCCACTGTTAGTGAGGGAATTCTTATTTGGAGCAAAATTGCCGATATGAAAGCTGCTTGATTGATTCGATCAGTAAACGCATTCCATTTTGCATGTTCACCACCTGCATAAACGTTGGTAAAAAGTTATTTTGCAATGGCCTGTTTATAATGTGGATTCCGTATCCCCGAGAGCATCTAATATGGCATTTTATGTGCGCTGAATAAAAATTAGAGCCCAATGCTTCTAACATCAGCCTTTCCAAGCTTGTTTTCTGGCCGTAGATGTATTTTTTCCATTAATACAGTGGTTGAAAGGATTTAACTTTCAACGGGAATAACCTATGTTGGAAAGATTGGACTAATGTTTTATGGATAGTAGTATTCTAGTCACTTTTATTATTGAGAGTTTTCCTGGACTGTGGATCTCGACGGCAAGAACGATTTGTACAGATAACTAAACTAATTTACGCTTCATCCAGTGATATTCTCGATAATAAATTGCTTACATTTTTAGTGATTTATTGAATATTGATAGCTGATATATTTATTTATTTATTGTGTATATTTTGACTTTTTACATCTATTACTCCTAGACCCGGCTAGAGATGTTAAATTTGAAATAATTTTGGATTTTCTGAACAATCTCGGTGTTGTTGGAAGTTTATTTGGCAATGCCAAGGCTTCACTATTAGAGATAAAAAATAAGATGAAAAATATATTATATGTACCGATATTAAGTATGTATCTTACCAAATAGTACCCCTTTAAAGCCTCACGTTTTCTTTTGTGCAATAACCAATTAGTAGATGGACGACGGAACTTTTATTATTTCTCTATCATGTAACCAGGCAATGAAACTGCATCGAATTCAGTTTTGAGGAAAAACTTGAATCGATGCAGGTTACTTGGTTAGTGCCGTAAAAAACTGTCCCTTTTCAATTCCTAATTGTTTAAGATTTAGGTCGTCTACTGGTAAGCTGTCGTAGATGTTTCGGTTTGACCGCAATTTTGTTAAGTTTTGAAACGCTTTTTGTTGTGTTTAGCAATTGAACAACTTCTGGTCATATTTATAGGCGCTTACATATACGCGGCTCGTTCTTCTTTTGACTTTCAAGTTTATTGTGATATCGATGGGAAAACTGTACGGCAAAGTTTGTATGTGAAGAAAGACTGGGAAGAAGAGCGAGGCATCGTTTCTGCCACAACCAGTTGGGTTGACTTTCACACTTGTGCTACGCCTTAAACTAAGAGCTATAAATGTATAAAACTACGGTATTAAGATCATGAAGTAGGACAATTTAGGAAATTTATATTTATTTCTTTTAATAATATAAAGGCAAAATCCCGTGCGGTTTTGCCCGTCATTATTGTATAATTGTATAAGTAATATGAAAACGAAATAAACAAACCTTAATGCCCCTTATAGATGCGTTGTTTCTAATCGCGCCCCAGAAATTTCCCTAAAAGTTCACTCTTGGATCGACCCTTGTAGATCGTGAAACAGGCCGATAATCGTCACGCTCAAATTCACCCCAGCTGACAAACATAAACCACCCCTAACTAGACGGTTTTGTCCTTGTTCCTTTGACGCAAACCCAAATCGCCCCGTCCCGTTTGCCCCTTTATGGGGCATAATTACTTTCTATTGTTAGACGCCTGCATATTGCTGAGGCATGTCTGAAAATAACCATCTGTACAATTTTAAATGTTTCGCTCCCAACGCACAGTTTGGCTTTATCTTCGACTGCACCGCAAGATAAAGCCTTAATTTCGGCTTCGCAATTATACGGAAATCGATATCAACCATCTGTGCTCAGTTCAGTCGCTTAATTGTTGTTGATTAGCTTCAATGAGAACCAGTCAGTAATTTCAGCGAGTATTCGGGATTTTTTTGGCGTTGAAAATATCCCATTCTTGTCTGTGAGCAGTTTTTGCAATAGTTTTGTGATAAGCCAGCTATGGTTCCTTTGGAGGATCATACATTTAATTTGCCACCGTTTAAAGGTCCACATTCAGCTAAAATGTGTTTCTACAGAGATTTTAAGCGAATGGGCGAGGAGATTGTGAATATACGGTAAGTGAAATTGAGATTTTTTACTCAAGTAGGGTGCTGAATTCAATCGGCGTTTTAGGATACTGGCCCAAGACGCTTTCAGGCACCAGTTGGAATGTCTATCCAATATGCCAGGCATGGAGATTAGTGAGGAAACTGTGAGAGAACTTAGGGCTTTAGCATACCAAGGCACTGATTTAAAGTACCACATACATTAAGGAAATTATTTTATATTGTTTAGGTGTTAGTTTCAAAGATTGCAATTGATCTAGTCAGTTTACAACATGCTTGTGTAATATTAATTATATTTTTCAACATTGTTTTTATCGGAATATTTGTATATTTAGAGCTCTACGCGGTTTTTTATTGCTGTAGTATTGAGTGTGTTTAAATAAAAAATATGTTAAATAGGTTTAACGTTATTTTATTCGAATTTAAAATACAGGGTCTATAAGTAGTCTAGATAGAACCTAGATCAATTTCTAAACAATAAACAAATAGAAAATTAACTACAGCTTTTACATAGTATGTAATAAAAATTGGTCAGATATAAAAAACAAAAACGCTGTCCTTAGATGGATCAATTTTTGGCTGAAAATTGCTTGTTTTTGTTCCAGTGTGAACTTTGAATTTACGTTTGCTTACAAAACTATAAATATATGCAAAAGCAAAAAATAATACTTGTATACATACAGCAACAATTTCAACAAAACCTTCAATATTCGCAGAAACGCAAAAGTGGTGATAATAATATACACATCTTAGAAAAATTAAATGAGAATCCTATATTATATAGATATACCTATGTATCACATAATTTTTTTAACGATTCCTTTAGAAACATATTTGAGACGCAATATTACGCTTTGCATTAAAATTTTGTCATAAACTTCAACTACTCAATTTAAAACACTTTTCTATGCAGTTTAAGTTGGAGAAAAATAGTCAAGCGCGTGTTAGTTTCTTGACTGTTCAATTACTGACTTAACTTTCATAGGTGGGAACCAGAAGGGCGCGAAAGGCAAAAATGAATAATTGACGAAAATAATCCAAATACCTCAAACCTAATGTTGGGAACAGCAATGATTTTTAATACTTGAATCTCCTTTTTGCTGGTTTGCTGTTGCCAACATTACCTTTCTTACAATCTATAACAACCGATCTACGTTACCTGGCTTAGTCTCCATTTTGCACCGCCTGGAGTTTCTCTAGTTTCACCCTCAATCGCATCTTTTCCTCCTTGATATCCGCTAATTCTTGGCTCAGTTCCTGACACGTTCGCAAAAGGGCAGTATTTTCGATCTGAAGCCGCTCGAACTCTTCCCACTGCTCCTCCTCGAGAGCGTCTAAAGGCGACTTATCACCGGAAGAAGATTTTCCCGGCTTCCTAAACAGCAAGAAAACTTTGAAGTTCTGCTACTTCAAATCCCGGAAAGGGGGCGACGCCCTAACCCGATCGGATTTCCATTAGCTTTAACCTTTCGGCCAGCTTCCACTAATGACAAAAACAAAAAACCTCTACATCACTTGCCTGTACACTTCGAAGGCGCCATGCTTCTTCGGAACATCCTCAGATGTGGCCTGCGCGAACAGTTTAGCCAGCAGCTTTTTCCTCTCGGCTTCATAAACATCACCTGCATACAAAAAACGGTTAATGATGCCCCAATAATGATGCCTCTCTAAGGCTTTACCGGGAAATATTGAATCATCTGGAACATTTTCGTATTGTTCAAACTTGCGGATGTTGGCAAAAGTGGCCTTGTCCTCCAACTGAACTCCATCGCCTTCAGAGCGCTGATTGAGCAACTTCTTCGGCGTGCTGTTGGGACTAACGCGCGGCGGCACCACCGGTGGCGGATTGGTTTTGGACAGCCTGAAGAATGATTGATTCAGGCTTGAAATTCTGATTGATTGCTAAATGCCTACTTGTTCAAATCCAACGAGGAACTTCGGCCGTGTGTTTTAAAGGGCCTGGGAGGAGGCGGCGGCGGTTTTTCCTTTTTGGGAGCCGGAAAAGCAGGCAGACTAACTGGCCCACCTTCTTCTGGGGGCGGCGGAATGGCCCCCAGTCCTCGAGGGTTGATTTTTTTGGGCTGCGGCCGTTGAATGGCACTGTTTTGTTGGACAGACAGTTGAACCTTTTAGAGCAACAATCCGCTAGAACTTTCGGCGAAACTGTCCCGAACCTGGTACCTGCAAATGGTTCCCTTCTGTCCTCTTGGGGCCGTTCAGGTCAATGGCATCGGGCACGTCCTCGTTTTGGGCAGCAGTCGCTGCTACCATTTCCGGCGTTAATCTTCTAGGCACCGGATGGCGAAGATCGGGATCGTTCTGGTCGATTTGAAAGTCGAAGTTAACCGGCTTTATGCCTGTAAGCGAGATTTAGATACAGGGAATTCTCGATGAGCGTTTGAGCATTGACCTGGCGACGAAACTGTCGAACTAGTGGGACTGTCCACGAATTTGGTCCATTCTTTGACTGCCTCCTTTCGCTGCGACAAAGCCGCAGGAACGAGATCGACGTCTGGACTGGGCGGCCGAGGGTTTTCCACTTTGGGGACCAAACTGGCTGGCAATGCATCAGGAATGGGGATTTTGTGCTTTCGGAGCACCACCTGCAAGCAGTTGCATTGCTAGGAGTTGAACACGTCAATGAGGTATAAACTGACCAAATGCATGGCCGTCAAGAACTCCTGAAGCGATAATGATCCGTCTTTAGTCACATCAGCGAGCTGCCATATCTTTCTTAGTTCCAGAACCGGCAATTGAGATCTGCAAAGATGGACAAGTTTTCATTGCAGTCCATTAGTGGAAGACAGTTTTTGTGACCTTTCAAAAAACGGTCTAGCTATGTGTCCAGGCAGTAAGGCGCTCGTGTTCTCTTGCAGCTTTTGAAACTGCTTAGTATAGTAGTCCCTTTGTTCGGAATTAATCGTCCAGACCTCCGTTGATACCTCTGTGTCATCGTCACTGCTGTGCTTATCCGATGACTCTTCTTCTAGAAGAAACAGCGGATTAAACAGTACCTGTTCACATCGATTTCCTTTACCTAGAAGTTGTCTTTGTTCCTCGGACACCAGGCCCTGCCAGGCCCAGTTTCTGTCCTGCACACTATTCGTTGGCGTCGGACTATCCGAAGCAGGACTGGAAACATCAGGCGAGAGTCGCACCTGCCGAAGCACAAAGCTTTAAATTTCACCTACGAATAAACTATCGGAAATCTCACTGTTTCACTCTCTGCTTCAGAGTCAGTGCTGATGGAATCAGTGTGATATTCCACGTCGTTTCTCAGCTCAATGAGATCAGCCACCGGCGACTCAGACTCTAAATTTCCCCAAGTGAATCTGGGTAACGGTATCTCCAGCTTGCTGGTGATCAGATCATTGCGAATGGGCAGGTTGGCCTGATAGGCTGCGACCAGCTTCAAGGCGGAAAAGAATTGCTTCTTGTTCAAGTAGCTGGTGCCTGGTATCCAGCATATTTCCGCAATCTGTATCAACAAGTCAGCTACAATCAAAAGCTATTCGCAAGATATGCGAGTGTGTTGGAGACCTTTAGATCTGAACCAGAGCAACTTCAAAAATTGCTATCAAATAATTCAGTGAGTGTTGAGTGCTAGCTTTAAGCGGCGATACCAAAAGCGCGTGAAACTTCAAGGAAATGCAGCAAATATGTGTTAAAGGCCCATGATTATTCCTGCTGGCTGAGCTGATATAACTCTGAGATGGAAACGCCTATTGATGCTTGCTTTTGGATACTAGCAAAAGTTTTAGGGGGCGAGCAGAGTTAAACAGCCACAAAAAGGGATATTAATATGGGAAACTGTTGGTAAACAAATCGAAATATCACACCTAAGCAATTACCTGGGCAATAATATCATCTGGAATATTTCCCGACTTGACTAGTTCGGTGGTACGATACAGGCTTGCTTTTCCCGACTTATCTTCGTCGCAACACAAAAATATATCCGAGAAATAGCGCTGGAACGTTTCGGACAGTTGCAGTTCATCCATTTTTTACATTTTTTGGATTTTTGACGTTTTTCACCCTTACGTCTTTCAGGTTAAGGGCACACTGCTCATCCATAATTCTACAATCAGATCAGGTGGAAGCTGTATCTTTGTTTGTTCAGCTATCTAAGGTAGAAAGAGACAAACCAAATTCCAGATTCGGTTTGCTCGAAAAGAAAAAAGAAGATCATTTATCCGCCTCCCTAACCATTTTTTTATGTCATAATAACTTTTAAAATCTGGATTTCTGTGCAAGTTTATACAAATAAAACAATGACTGGCATCGGGAAACTCACTTCTCTACTGCACTCAGTTAAACATGCCCCAGCTTTCAAGTGCTCCAGTGTAAACCACAGTTACAAAAGTGCAATTTGCTTGGAGAAGCTGCACCCTCAAAGTAGCTTGAAACTTACTACACCCACCAAGGTACGTGTAAAATAATACTCATTTCCCAATGCACTTTGTGGCTTTTTAGCCCGCAACATCCCAAACGCCAGACTTTGATGGTTATATTCCTTTGGACCAATTGGAAATCACTTACAGTCGCAGCTCAGGCCCGGGGGGCCAAAACGTAAACAAAGTGAACACGAAGGTTGATGTGAGATTCCATCCCAACTCAGCCAAGTGGCTGAGCGATAAAGTCAAGACGAAACTCCTGGAAAAAGTAAATATGCCCTCCCAATTAACTCAGCTACATGGTAATTTCAGTTTCAGTCAAAGCTGACCAAAGAAGGCCACTTAGTGTTCCGTTCGGAACTCACGAGACACCAGCAGTTAAACTTGGCGGACTGTCTAGAAAAGCTTAGAAAGTGCATTAGAGATTCTCTGCAGGAAAAGCCAGAACCATCAGAGGAAACTCTGGACAGAATAAGGAGGAGAATGGAAAGAGCCAACAAGGAAAGACTAGCTGAGAAAAGGTTCAACGGTATGATTAAAGCAGAGAAACAGATTCTCAATAACATACAGTTGTAAAGTTTATTTCGTAAGAATAAACATTTTCAGTTAGAAGTCTAACACGAGAAAGTCCTTTGCCTTTTTAATAAATTTTACTTAAGTTCCTTTGAAAATTTGTGAGTTTTGTACTTCAGACTTCAATCTAAACAAAAATTTCCATTAAATCTACAATGTGTCCTACAAAAGAGCTTAAACATCCTGGTCGCATGCAGAAAAATTTATTGGAACACCATAATCAACACAACTTCTAATAATCTATCTACAAACCCAAACTAATCTTACACGTAACAATGTATTATTTCATATGCATTGAATATCTCTTAACAATTTCTCTTTGTACTTCCCTCTCATGTTTAATTAGATATAGAGTTTAAGTAATGAACTAGTGCAATTGTGGACCTTTCTGACGATGTTAATGCTTTCATTTTCTTAGCTGTTTGGTGAGTCTTACGAAAATCTTCATTTTCACAGCTATAAAACTTATAAACGTTGCAGATAATTCATATTATAATACGATTTACAAAAACCAGAACGTTTGTAATGTATTAATCAATTTGATAAATTAATAACCGTCTTCATTTGCGGGTTATTTACAACATTACCTAAAATATATGCACTGCTAATTAGCAAGCAGTTAAGGAAAAGCAATGAATATACACGGTTCAATGTACAAACGCGATGTTTGCCAAACCGGAACTTGCGGCATGTTTTAGAATCAAATTCCGGTTTGACAAAAAAAGATAAGCATTGTTGAAGTTAGGGACAACATAAAATTCTGGTTTATAACGTTACTATTTGTAATTATTCCAATCGAAAGTTAAGTGCATCAAACAACATTCCTATCTATTCTCGTTCCCTATCGCGCTTTTTGTCGCTTGAGCCCGAGCGGTGAGACCTGCGACTTCTGTCGCGGCTCTTAGATCGGGATCGCCTCCTAAAACAGCACAACGATGGTTACCCAGTACTTTCAACCTAATCGTAATTAATACCTTTCCCTGTCCTTGTCGCGATCCTTCCTTTCCTTGTCCCGGTTATCGCGTCTCTCTCTGGATTTGGATCTGTGTCTTCTGGATCTTCTATCCAGTTCTCTACCACCCACATAGTGTTCTCTGTACCGCCTTCCCGAAAATCCTTCATCATCTCTGTCTTTGTCCTTAAAAGCTTTCTTCCGTTCATCTTTGCGTTTGTCAGCGGTTTTCTATAAAAAACAAAATCAGGTCAAGACCCTTAATATCATCACACAACTGAAAACCCACTTCTAAGTCCATGAGTTTCTCCCGAATTTTGATGAATCCTAGATGCAGCTTTCCACCAAAATGGTCAGCCAATCGTCTATCATTATCGTGTATTCCTAGATAAGCTGAGCACACTTCGCAAACTCTCAACTTTTGCTGTTGATAACTGCTTGCAGGCATCGAATTTCTGTACTCTTGCTCAGCTTCAAGCTTTTTCTTCCGCAAATCATCGACCTAAAGGACACAATTTAATCATCGAAGAACGGGTAGCAAAACAAATCGCTGCTCACTGACCTCTTCCATCAACTTCATGCTTTCATCAACAAAACCTTCAGCGCCTAGTTGTTCAGCTTTGGCCAGCTTTTGACCGATCTGTTCCTGAAGTTCGTGAACACTATTGGCTTTGACTGCCACTTCAGCCGATAGTTCTTCCTGAGTTTCAGCCAGTCGTTGCTTAGCTGCCTCAGTTCTTCGGTCACAGTCGCTAATAAACGCTTGCAAGTGTTCCATTGCCTGAAAGTTATTTATTTAGCAGCGAAAAGAAAATATTGAATCCGTGGAATGATTGTATAGAAGGTTTAGAGTTGCTTACATCCAAGTCGTAGAAGTGATCCTTGCTTTTCTGGGCATTTTCGAAATCTGCACGTAAAGCCAAATCGTGAATCTTCGGACACTCGCCCAAGTCCATACGCTGCCAAACAAAGAAAATTAGGAAATAATTTTAACATGTAACTACAAGCCACTCTATACATTTTCAGACAAAATCTCGAAGGATACACGAAGGTATAATTTTTGATTTCCATTGTTTTACATGAACACAGCAAGAACAAGCCTTGTTCAAATCAACTAAGTTTTGTGTGAAGGTTGAGAAACGTGAATTAGAGACTCGTTGGGTAAATGCTAGATATTATTTCCGTTTCGTTGCATAGGAAATTAAGTTGTGATGTTCTTACTGTGAACTTGACACTGGTTGTAAATACTTAATAAAAACTAACAAATATTAAATAGTTCATAAACTTACAAGGTTTTGCTACTCCACTCAGATTTTTCTCGTAAATTGACAAATTTGGCGAATTTTCAATTGAAACTGCTGGACCAATAACGATTTTTAATACTCACAAAAATTGGTCATACGAATCCTAGACGCCGTTATCGTAAAAAAAATCATACTCACAGTATCAAGAAAACCGTGCGGATGAATTGCGCTCTTTATGTATGTATGTAGCAGATACGTTCGCAGGCTTGATTTTCTGTTGAGGAATTTTTACTTACCAAAAATTTGCTCAGAATAAGGTTAGCGGCGAAGTATTACTACTAATATACCAAGACTTACCAAAACCAGTGGCTTATCTGTTGATGAATGAAATATTGATAAAAACCAGTACTCAGAGGTTTTTTTTATAAATTAAAGTGGAGAAGAAAAGGAATAGTTTTTTGTTTCCGAAAACACCAACTAATTGCTTAGTTTTTTTGGAAACTTGCTAATTGGCCACAAATTAATTTTAGTAAGTTTTCCAAAGCGGGTTTAAAATTGTTCGCACTTGCGTCTATAAAACAGAATTTAAATTCTGGCAATTATCAATATTGTCGCTGATTTCTACTTTGGTTAAATCTCGGTCTATTTCGATAAAGGATCAAGGCAGGAGCGGTGTCGCCATTGAAGTTTTATAAAAATAGCTCAAACTGATTTTGCCCAAAAGCAGAAAAATGTAAAATTTTACTATAAGTATCCACAATAGCCTAAAAATTGATCTTTATACGTACGTCAATGTACTTACATACAAAACTAACACCTATTTTCCTCATCTTTTAATAGATATTTGAAGTTTCTGAAAATACAGTGCATCGTATTAGTGTCCCGAAGAAAATCATTAAGTGGATTCAGAGTTTTTTATACATGGTTGATTGAATAAACAAATTCATTACCTACACTAAATCGCTATAAAATACAGTCAGTTCACGATAAAAGCTAGAAATGTATTCATTCTAAAATAAATATTTTGATTATTTAGTTCTATTTAATATAGAGAGTGTCGTAAAGGTGCGGCACATTAGGCGGTTTTTTCATTCAATGATTGAAAATATTGAGAAAAAAGCATCTTCAGACATTTTTCTTCAATATGTTGTAGTCCTTTTACAGCCTGTGTCCCATACGATGATACGAAAGTGTTTCTATTGGTCGGAGATCTGTCAATTCGTTAGCCCTCGGAAGAACTGACAGATCTCCAACCAATAGAAACACTTTCGTATCATCGTATGGGACAGAGGCTTTAAAAGGACTACAACATATTAAAGACATCGTATGAACAGATGCATGGGACACGGCTTTTGACGTTAAATGTGGGCATAATCAGTTTCTTTCATCGTGAACACTGTAATTGGTTCGTTCATTTGACTGGTTCGAATTGGATGACATCAATGCTTCGACTAATCTACAACATACGTCTTTGGAGGGTGATTAGGAACAAAACAAACATGAAAGCAATCCCCCCGCTTAGCTAGAACCAGGGACATGAACGAACCAGACATTTCATAACCACCTACTTAGCTTTGCACCAAAATTGAACTCACCGTAGACGAGAGGATTTCGTGAGGACAACAGCTCAACAGAAAGGATTTACATACTTTGGGGTCGTTGTATTTCACGTGAAACTTGTTATTTTCTCCTGTGGAACAGCTTGGTCAGAAAATCAATATTGCACTGAAGGCAACCACTTACCGTTTCGTCCAGTACCCATAAGCTGGTCCAGCATTGCTCGCATTTGATCGTGAGCCGACATGATCTGCAATTTCAGATTCAAACCAGCAACTGGAATTCCAGTCGTCACCACTTTTCAGCCTTTTTCCAATGCACGATACGAAAAATGGCGACTTGTACTGCGACAATGCGCAACGTCAACCGACAACGTCACTTGATTACATTGCATTGATGCCAGATTTTCGGATCGTTGCTTAGGGGATTTTTGTTTGCTTACTAGTCAGACAGAGATAGAATCCTTAGATCCCATAGATGTAAAAAGAGTGAGTGAGAGCTTGTTTAAACTACAAAAAACCCACATAACCTATACCACAAAACTGGTACAAAAACATTGGAAATGTTGAAAATACAAACATTTATGTTGAACGAGACTAAACTGGTTGAATGGAAACTTTCAATGATTGCTGTTGTTTGCTTACATTCGCCTCCACTCTATTGATGTTTCCTTCCAGAAAATCAGCCCCTTGAATTTTTAATGTCATTAAGCCTGAATGTGGACTGATTATTGCTTATTGCCAGGTGATATTCGGGGTACTTTCATTGTTGATCATAGCAGTCTTAAACCAGTAATGTTAAATTTTTACGTCGCTGTCAGATACCCCTAAAATACTTGGTGATTTTCAAAATTAGTAAACCCCATGAACCAGTATGTATTCTACGACTTTGAGGGGCGTTTTCCCCGAACCAAGTGAGTGAACAACGCTTAGATCGGGCAGCTTTTCTAGCGTCCCTTTGATCAAATCATTTCAATTCCAGAACCTGTTTATAGGCGAAATTTCATTAAGGAGAATGTAAAGTCCATAAAGCAAATGCAAGGCATCCTGCAGGAAGCAGGCGTAATCCAGCCGCGCAAACGGTCCATTCAGGGTAGATACAGAAACGTCCCCCAACTGAGCCAGTCGAGGGAAAGTACGGCGAGTCGGAGTCTAGGAAATTTGACTAAAACTGATGCAAAATCGCAAGCCACTGAGGCGAAGCCGCCTCCAAAACAGCCCACTAGCATCAGGCCTCAACCGCATAAAGCAGCCAAAGGTTGACCACATCCCCCATACTAAATCCAGCCCTAATTGCCGCGTTCTTCTAGTGAAACAGCCAAAGAGAAGAGACATTTCAACGCCAGAAGACAATGGAAGACTCACCCATCGGGGCATGCAAACCGAGAGGGAAGAAGACATGTCCCGCTTGTACGACACAGGCGTTATCAAGTACCCCAGCCCGAGCGCACTATCGCATGCGAAAAAACCAATCCAAGGCGGCCAAGGAGATCAGCCTCAAGCAGGCCTAAGTGAGGATCTGGAGAATCTAAGTGAGTTATTATTGAACCGCAACACCTAAACTCACTTATGAAGCGTTAGCTTTTGAGGACAAGGACTTTATCAAGGAGAACAAAACCATTAAGACTAAGCCTCCCAAGCAAAGCCCTGTGAAGGTCTTAGCCCAGGCGCCCCCGAGCTACCAACGCGGGGTTGTTCCCAAATATTTGCGGGATCGAAAGGACGACGCGCCTGTTGAGACTGATGCTGACTGTCCACCTGGGCACATTCTCTTGCCTGAAGAGGAGAGGAAGGAAACGTTAAGGGTGCTAAGACAAAGTGCGTGAACTCTCAAGAACTCTGCAAATATAATTTAATTATTTATTCTATCTGTAGGTTACGCGGATAGAATACAAGAACTGAACATGATGCCCGTCAGGAATGATACCCTGAAAATGAAGAAAAGGAAAATGGACATTGAGGAGGAATTGAAGAGGATCGATGGCGGCATCAAAGTGTTTCAAAGACCGAAAGTGTATGTTAAAATAAATGCTTAAAGCGCGTGTCAATAAATATATCAAAGCGCAGTTTTGGGACATTCTATTAGGAAGCTGTGATTTGAAAACAAAAGTATTTTTATAGGTGACTTGATGAAAGGCGCTTGGTAAATTTAAATCGTGCATTTGTTAAATGAATTGAGAATGTGCCTGATATTGTAGTTATTTTATTTAGTACAAAAACGCTTCATTCTAAAGCTCCTCAGCTGGGATGGAGCGTAAACGCGCATAGAGTGTCCATTTTTTGACTATTATTCGGGAGAATGGCGACTGATTTTTAATTTTTGTGAGTCCAACTGGAAATAAAAACAACTATTTATTGAGTCACTTTGGTCGATCTAATGAGAGTCAACTGAATGCACAAATTCATCGGATGAAAACTTTAGCTGGGAGCAGCGAAATTTTGCCTCTTCCTCCCTGAACCATTTGTCGTAGTCAAATTCTGGAAAAAACACCCCGATCTCCCTTCGAGCTGTTTCCGGCGAATCTAGAACCGATAAAATTTAATGCGATTGCCAAAAACGCTGTGATGTATCCACATGCACCTGAGCCGTGTGTGGCATTCCGGGTGTCCGACAGGCCGTATTTGCCTCTGATGGTATCAGGAGCCTCAAACTGAGACCTGTACACCTTCGTGGGCCCCATCAGGCTTCTCCAGTCTTTAATGGCGTTTTCCTTGGCTAGTATGTACAAGTCTGACGCTCCACTGTAAACGATAGCAAATATAGCAGCTTTCTGTGGCTGCAAGCTTTTTACCTAGTCATAAAGGTCACTAATCTGTTGTAAAAAAACTTGTGCTTGTGCTCCTCGTAGAAATACTGAGCTTCTTCCAGTGAGATCGGTTTCCTTTTGGATCTGACTACTTTGAAGCTGGACTTCAGGATTACATTTTGGATGCCCTTCAAGGAGGTCGGGTTTTTTATTATATGGGGCTTGATAATTGCCAGAGTGAGCTGAAGCAGGGCCATTCCAGTAAGATAAAGGAGCTCAATTCATCCCCGAACTCTCTCACATCTTTTATGCAATGTTTTTGAATTTCGTTTGACTGGTTACTTTCTAACCTCGTTTAGTTGGCGATGTTGCCTTTATTATGTCGGATTGTAACAAAGAGGGGGGATAATATGAAAATATTTTTTAGTTTATACTGATTTCGTAGATGCTTTCCGGAATTTTAGCTAAATATTGGCGCATTTATTTGTGCGTTTTTAAGCAATAAGCAAAACTGCTAATTTTCTGCTAGCAAAGGAGTAATTACGCTCTGGGTTCGGAGAAAGAGAGCGCGATAGAACAGAAGAGAATTGCCACCAATGAGTTTTATGGTTGGCAGTAAATATTTTTTAGTTGGTATGGTTGGTTTATTGACAGTAGTTACAAACTTAAAAAAATGGGTTTGAAAAACATACCAAAAGTACTTACTTAGCACATTAAAGTAAATTTGCTTCAATGCTAACTCTCAACATTTGAGTGATTCATTGCAGGCATTTGAGAAAAAAATTGACTTACCAGTTTGAAAACGCCATTTTTTGTTTTTTGACACAAAGGTGACTGCGTAATGGCGAATGGAACAGCCACGCGTAAGTTGCTCCATAAGTTTGCAAAAAATCACCAAAAAGTCGCGTCTGTGTTCGCAAAAGTGTATATTTCTGGAAAGGGGAAGATTTCCTTCACCGATTCGTAGTAATTTCGCGACCGCGAGCGCGGTGTTACTCAAGAAACGCGCCTTTTGTATTTGTGAAGTTTCTGACGTCTTCCTAACAAGGATTCACCCTGCCATAAAGTTTTCAAGAGTATTTTTGGACTGTTTGAACCCACATTTGGACCAAGTAATACCCAAAAACTACATTAGATAAGGCAAACTGCAACACGCCCTGTATATTGGTTGCGTTACTTTGAAAATAAATTTCGGGACACATTCCTTGTGGCTCGAGGACAGTTTACACGTTGAAAAAACATTTGAAAAATGGCCAGAGCAGTACACGAGCGCATTGCTGTTATTGTTGACCTGATTCTCAAAGTGTTCCAGACACACGTACAGGCCAATTGAATCTGAACTATTTGATACGTTATAAGGTTGCTGGAACCGAATTTGTTTTCAATTAATTTTGCATTGTAATTAGCGCACGTGTGACAAGTTCACATACCGTGCTGGCTACAAAATAGGCCACTGTGGAACCTGGTTTCAACCACTAATTACTTTTTCTAATTGATATTTTTTTTAGGTGGTGGGACCCATAGATTAACTAAGTGGGACCGGTGGGTACCATTGGACTCTGCTCCAGTGAATTAATTCCATAGATTGCCTCACATCAGATGTCAGCTTCCTTCAGAGGTACATTATTATAGTAGTTCAACACAGTTGTATAAAGTCTGTTGTTTAACGCATTAAACAAACATGTTTTTTCCATGTTTGGCTCACGCTGTCCAATCGAGTCAGCCTCTATCAACCACCACACTATACGTTTATAGAATTCAAATTGGTTACGATTGTTTCGCACAGATGTCGCTGGCCGTTCTAGTAGGACTTAGCGAACCTGCGAGTCGCGCTTGAAAAGCAATTTTATAATAAAAAATGTTTTTGGGGCGCTGAAAAGCAAATTAAAAAATATCGCACTTTTATCCCCAAGGCGCCCTAAGAGCCTCCGGAGGTTGGCATTGTTCTTCAAAATACTTTTGCCGTCGTTCAATATTTTTCGAATTGTGGCAAAAACAGACACTTTTAAAATAACCCTAAACAAAATTGAAAGTTCTGACTGGTTGCCAACATTTCGGTTTGAGTATTTAAATTCCCGTTTATCTAATACCAGTTTTGATGGGTCCCAGTTGTTCTGTTGGCTTGTACAATCAAAGATTCAACTACTTAATTATTTTTTCTTTTCGGTATTTATTTTCAACGGCCATTAATCAACAATTATTGCTATTCCGCAGTTGGCAACCGTTCATCCTTATGGGAATCAACACGCTAGTGTTGATAAATAAATATAATTTATTTTTGAAAAAAAAATGATGAGATGACACAGACACGTTGTCCACACGATTGCCACATACATACATTGATTATGATGATTATAGGTGTAAATATGTGTTTGCTTTTCGCGTAGGTCAAAGGTTTCTGATGTAAGCACGTACAGGTCTCGATGCGTGTTAATCTCAGACAGGCACACAAGTGCAGGTTTCGGGAGTGTTCACCGATCAAAGCCTCCTTCTGGCTGTGCCTGAGATTAACACACATCGAGATATCGTGCTTAAGTCAAATTGGAGCAAAACATTGTACTGTACACATTGTAAAAGTGACACTAAAATTTGAAAATTCCCATTGGGACACCTACATCAGGTCTATAACTTAAAACCGGCCGACGAGTTCGCTTAGCATAAAAATGCTTTTGTCGCAGCGCAGTTTATCACCATATAAAAGTGGTTTATCTCAGCTTAAATGGCTCCTGTCGTCGCCCTTAGAACAAATGCGACTAGGTGGACCAAATGGGACTCGCAAACCCTTTACGATCGCGCAATGTAATTTTGTCAAAAAACTCGTTTACGTGAAGCGGTTATGTTCCCGCCTATAGGCGATAAAGAAACTATAAAACCAAAAGTGTTGTTCTATGTGGAAGTAGGGGCGGCAATTTCTCTCGGTGAATATGTACTGGAAATACTGCAGTGAGCAGAGTAACGTTGGGTTAATTTGATAACGCCTGGGCTGCGAGATAAGCGAGCAAACGGTGGTGCAGAAAATTGCGTTTTGTCCCATGTGGAGATTGGGAGCAGATTGAGCTTTATTATCCCTTGGCACATTTTTATGACCGTTATGCTAACGTACAGTGGCCGTAAAATTTCATGATTATAAAATATTGCATCACACTTAACAAGCACACAGCATCATTTTCCCGAAATTTATACCCGCAATAAGCTATGCATGAATCAAAATGAATGTTCAAAAAAATGAATGTTCTCTCCTCATTTTTCGAATGGCTATTTAGTCGTTCTCATCTGCATGGTGCCCTCCCAGCACGATTTTCAATAAACGGCCCCTTCGGGATTGATGTTTTTGCGTATTCCTCGCACCAGCCCCATTTAAAATACACCGTTTGTATATTTTGCTTTAGACTTTACGATGTCGTAAAAGTTTTAATATTGCATAACATTGCTTAACAGCGTGGATTTAACGCCCTGCTTCATTTCTCATTTATACACGGAAGCGTTAGCAGCATGTTTGAATAGGGGCTCGAACCGGGCTGCTCTTGACACGAACATGAAATTTGCCCCAATCATGGACAAATACGCTTGAGGCTGTTTAGACTAACGGCGCAAAACGCTGACTTGTTACTAAGCCATGGATCTGTTGACGAATCCGCCCGATATTCTGCATCCTAAATCTACATCGGTTCTATTATCTAACGCTGTTTCCATTCCTGTATATTTGCCCATATCGAGAACTACTTTTGGGCAATTTTGTCTAGTCATCAACTCCCAGCCTCTAAGGCGAACAATTTGATGAGATAAAGATGAGACTTTCAGGGTTTTCAGGACCGAGTGTTCACTTAGGCGTGGTGAAGAAAAGAGCGTGCACTTAGGTGAAGTTTCCATTTCTTCAGCTGCGTTTCAAGCGCCCAAAAGCCATAGTTTAGAGTTTTTTAATCGAAAATATCAGGGTTTTGAGAGCCAGTCTGTGTCGAAGCTTACGAATTTTTAAAGAGTCGCGTGCAGTTGAGCGGAAGCTTCTTTTTGTTCACCTGCGCTTACAGATCGAGCGAAAATCAAATTTAACTGCGATTCAAATGAAATTTTCAGGATTTTCAGGGCCAAGTATCAGCTATAGGGTGTCCCAGTTTCAAACTGCCAGCCGCTCTGACTGGCAAGTTAAGAATTTTTAAGTAAAAGCGTGCAGTTGAAAAAAACGCCTTTGATTCTGCCCGCGCTTAGAAATCAGATTGTTTCGCAATTTAAGTAGAACTTTGGCAATCGTTAGAGCCATCCATGTGTGTGCTAGACGGTCTGCAAGTGTTAATTTGCCAGCTTCGCTGGATTTAAAGTTACAGATTTTTGAAAAAGGCGTTCAGTTGATCGCTCAGTCATCCGCTTATTTACCTACCTGCGTCTACCGAGCGCTCAAAAATCCGATTTTGGTGCAATGCATGTGAAACTTTGCAACAAACTTTGACAAACATGCAAATGAGTTTTCATCTGCGCGTTAAAGACGCGATAAAATCGGTCTTTCATGCGACGTGAGTGAAACTCTCAGGCTTTTCAGAGTCGAGTGTGTTCTATAAGGTGGGCAACTTCCAAGTTGTTGCCCGCTTTGAATGAGAAGATACGAATTTTTGAAAAAGGAGCGCACAATTGGGCAAAAACTGCGACTTTGTCCTTCTGAGCATTTCGATTCATTGATTAAACTGTCTATAGCTTGGGAGCCTCTAAAAGGATATTTTTTTCTGTACCAACAAAAAAGGGTTTTACTAGAATTTTCCAACCAACAAGAGGCAAACTAAGAGCGCAAAAACCGCAAATTGACCGAACTCCACCACAAAGTTATGCCCTCAGCGTGGCAAAAAAGCAACAGTCAAGTAATAAAGCCCGTGTCGCATGCATCCGTTTGTACGATGATACGATGGTACGAAAGTGTTTCTATTGGTTGGAGATCTGTCAATTCGTCCGTCGTCGTATGACGTGGTCGTATGACGTGGACGAATTGACAGATCTCCAACCAATAGAAACACTTTCGTACCATCGTATCATCGTACAAACGGATGCATGCGACACGGGCTTTAGGCCCAATGGGACAAACGATTTGTTTCACCAACCTCTTTATGTGCTCTTTAGAGTCAGTAAGCAATTAAGAGTTAAATTCAAATTTATTTTGCTATTAACTGGTTTTAGTGCCATGTATAAATCATAAAAGCAACGGAGGTTTTGATTCCTGAAATGTCCCCTCATAAAGGCGTCACATTCCGTAAGAACCCTAGTAGTAACATTTAGATTTACTAGCTCACTAAAAAGTTTTTACGAGCACAAATAAAGGATCGGCAACTGACCCCCGCATGCAATAGTTGCATACATAAAGTCCAAAAGGAGGGAGCCGAAATCTAATTTTGTCAAATTGAATGGAAAAAACTCGTAAAATCCACTCTGTAGTCCATTGTTGGAGCTTGTTTTCCAGCTCTCGATTATCTCTCTGGCAGATTGGAGCTTTACGGTTTTATGTGTTTCTATGTGAAAAAAGTTCCCGTTTTCATTGGAGGAAAAGTTTACTTCTTGGGACCCGCACACTATTCGACACTGTGAAACGAAAATAGATTTTTACTGCCGAATGAAAAACATGCTACTTTGCCAAATTGGGCTCATTTTGATCGTCGAGTGACTGTGGGAAACTTTTCGGGCAATCGAATAACTTTCCTGCTTTTCTCCGAAAGCCAAAGCGGCCTTCGCATTTATATTTGCTTTTTCCACATTTGACTTTAACTTTCTTTTAACCTCAACCGCCCCAATTGTTGGGTGTTTGAACTAAGCAAATCGTGATCAAGTGGTCAACTATTTATTGTCTGGTGGGTTTTTCGGGCTTTAGGTCGTGGGGAACACAATTTCTTTCCGACGTTTCGCCAGCACGAGTGACCTGCATGTTCAGAAGTGGTTTGCTCAAGCTTTTTCAAAGACCACGAAAACCTAACTGTTTTCCTATTGCATTTGGCCTTCTTGCATGTTTTAACTCTCCAGAGCATCTGCCCAGTTTTCAATTTTTTTGTTATATAATCAGAACGCGTGCATTCAAGGCTTTCGCCGTTTTTAAACCGAAGCCTCTATTTTTAAAGTTCCGCATTTCATTGAATTGATCGAGTTTTTCGCATTTAGAAATCCTCGTTCTAGAGACGAAATGTCACAAAACTTACAACTAGGAAGAACTTTCTCAAACATATTGGACGTTTTTCTGGCACTATGGATGTTTTGGTTATCACACGACAAGGCCAAAAAACAGGAATTGCCTGGACGATTTATGCGCCAAGTTGAAAAACGATTTTTACCTCGGCGATGCCGTTTTCGAACGATCATCCTTTGCTTTAATGGACTAACATCTTCAGGCTCTTCAGATTAACGAAGTGACTTCAACGCACCAACAGTATTTTGCATTAAGAAACGTGATTGTTTGATGAATGACCGAAAATATTTGTTAAAACTTAGTTTAATGGAAAGATTTTTTTTTGGTAAAATTGAGCCTTAATCTCGATGGCTCGTCTCTGCTAAATACTCCATTTGTTCGATTTTTCCTCCTCCAGCCGGTTTTCGCTCCCGATATTGAAACGTTCAACTAATTTACACGTTTTCATGAAATTCCACTTTCAG